GATTGCGCCACTGCACTCTGGCCTGGGCAACAGAGCAAGACTCCATCTCCAAAAACACACTACACCATAAAACCCAACGGAACAGATGCAGAAAAAAATTCCAGAGGATTTGTTGTGATGCCTGTTCAAAACTCAGAAAGCCACCACCCGATACTCATCAAACCCTGGAGAAATTCCGTTTCTGGAGTGTCAGAAGGCCTCATGAATAACCTTCCATTCACTGAAGGTCGCCTCAGCAGCCCGGTCTCCTTCACTCTCCTGCACTCGTGCCTCGCAGATGGCCTCATGCGCGGACTGGCGGTCAGCCTGCCAGGGGGCAGGGCACAGGCGCACCCCGCGCCGCCTTGCAGCCACTGAGGCCGGGTCTCGAGCACCGGAGCTGAGGCGACCTCCCGGGGGCAGCGCCAGGATCCGAGGCGGGGTGCGTGCGCCCGGAAGGGCCTCAAAGCTGCAGGGCTGAATGACGCTGGGCGCAGAGCACGGGGCCCAGGCGGAGGGACAGCTAGCGACTCACCGGGATGAGCGGGCCCGGCTCCCAGCTCAAGAAATAAGCCTCTGTGGGAGCTTGTCTCAGCGCCCATCAGTCTTCCCCCACTCCGAAACTACCTTGGCGGCGCGGTCTGATCCACTTTAACTAGTAGTCATGATGAGGGTCGGGCCTTCTTCGAGATGCTCACTGCCAGGACTTTCCGCCTGCGGGCTCTCTGCGCGCACTCACTGGCTGCCCGGCTGCGGCGGCCGTCCTCACCACTCCCGGCTTCACGGGGCTGGGGGCGCGCCTGCATAGATCGAACAGTCGTCCTGCTTTCCTAGAAAAGCCGTGGGGAAGAGGGAACACTTCTACCAGCCACGTGGAAAGCCACCGTCGCGCGTGGCGTCTGAGCGTCTACCGGAGTCACGGAGCCGACCAAAGGGAAAAGGCCAGTCCCTGTCCGGGAAGAGCTCAGCCTAGTGGGGCAGGCGACAAGTTACACTTGCTACCTTGCCATGGCGGTGACCCGTGGAGGCGTGGGCCGTCACCAGGAGTCGGTCAGGAAAGACGGGCGGATACGTGAGGCCTGGACAGGAAGGAATGGGAGACCAGAACTGTACCGCCCAGACCGCTTTAGTCGGGCTCTCAAAGGTTGAATTCTTTCTTCCTTACTAGTTGTGAGTCTTTGAGCAAATTTGCCTTTCTAAAGCATAGTTTCTTATTTATAAAACAGGGTTAACAGTTGCATTCACCAGAGGTAAATACAAGAGAAAATCGATGTTAAGTGCTTATCACGGTACCCAACACATACCAAGTACTAGAAAATAATGGAGCTAGGTACGGAGGGAGCAATCTTGACAGAGGGAACATCTCGTGGAATGGTCACAGGGCAGGAGGCGGTGCCTGCATTCTTGGGGAACTGCAGAGTTCATGGGTAAATAATAGGAAGGAAGGTAAGTAACCACTTTGCAGAAACCCTTCCCCAACTAGGTCAGACTCCCCACTGTAGTATCATATGCCTCTCCTTTTAGGCACTTGTTATGGTTGCAACTTTATTAACGATTCTAATTAGTTTCTCTTCTACAATTATAACCTCCATTAGTTTCTCTTCTGCAATTATAACCTCCGTCCCGCCAGAGACTTGTACATTTATGCTCACCTGCGCTGTAGCACCCAATCGCCAACATATTAAAGCTCGTGTGTTTGGGCGTGGCTCACGCCTCTAATCCCAGCACTTTGGGAGAGGCTGGCGCGGGTGGATCACGAGGTCAGGAGTTCAAGACCAAGCCTGACCAACGCTGGTGGCTGCCTCTCTACTAAAAATACAAAAATTAGCCGGGTGTGGTGGCACATGCCTGTAATCCCAGCTACTCAGTAGGCTGAGGCAGAAGAATCACTTGAACCCGGGAGGCAGAGGTTGCCGTGAGCCAAGATTGTACCACTGCACTCCAGCCTGGGTGACAGAGCGAGACTCTGTCTCAAAAAAAAAAAAAAAAAAAAGCTCAGTAAATATTGCTGGCACAAGTGGATAAATGGGTTGCATCAGAATATGTATGTCACATTGAGGACTTTGGACTTCAGGCTGTAGTGGAAATCACTGTGGAAATTCAGAGAGGGTGGCACTATCAGATTTGTTCTAAGGAAGATCATTCCCAGCTGCCCTGTAGAGAAGGGTTGGAATCGGGAGGCATGTTAGGAGGCTGTAGAAGTAATAGGTACAAGCAGAGATAATGGGTAGCTCACTCTAAGGGCATTAAAAATCAAGACAGGTGAGGCTGGGTGCAGTGGCTCACACCTGTAATCCCAAGGACTTTGGGAGGCCAAGGCAGGCAGATCACCAGAATTTGAGACCAGGCTGGCCAACATGGTGGAACGCTATCTCTACCAAAACTACAAAAATTAGCTGGGTGTGCCGGCTTTGTAATCCCAGCTCCTCAGGAGCTGAGGCAGGAGAATCACTTGACCGGGGCAGAGGTTGCAGTGGGCCAAGTTCATGCCACTGCCTCTAGCCTGAGCAACAGAGTGGAACTCCATCTGAGGAAAAAAAAAAAAAAAAGACAAGTGGACTATATTGGCAGATTGTTGGCTGGTATTCACTTGTTCTACCATAGTCGTACTCGTTCCCTCAGGATGGTGACAGTCTTATTTCCTATTGATGCAGGATTTTTTTCCTTGATTCCTTCGTGGGACTCAGGAGGGGGCACCCTGTTTACTCAGCCCACTGCGCTCAGCCTGTAGCAGGCGTGTGCAGGTAAGCAAGTGAGTGCAGGATCTGGCTGGCCACTACCAGCACCAGCACGAGCAAGCTCTATGCGGGGCCTGTGACCAGAGCAGGCATGAGTAAATGACTGCAGAATCTAGCTGTAGCTGCTCTGGGCGAGTGTCAGGAGCAAAGCTCATTTGGGAGTCTGTGGTGGTGCCCAAGTGGGGGTGCCTGTGACCCCAAAGCCCCAGAGGGAGTGTTACAGTGCTCTCTTAGTGCCACTGTTTGAGGATGGCTGTGTGTTAACAGCTCAGCTTTAGCCTAGACTCATTGTGTGGGGTGGCTACGCCACCAGTGAGGGCAAGAGCGGAGTCTTGACAGCCTTTTGGGTAGCCGGCCAGGCAGGTCGAGCTCTTGTCCCAGCATCTACAAGAAGAATGAGGTTCTGTGGAACACTTGAAGGATGATGAAGGTGGAGAATTTTGCTAGGTGGTCACAATGGCTGTCAGTGGAGAGGGGAGCTAGAGAGGGGATAGAAAGGGCTGGTCATCTTCTCCCCAAAGTCTGGCTATCTCTTCCAAAAGTCACAGCCATCTCTCTCTGTCTACTGACTGAGTATGGGGTCTTTATAGGCACAGAATGAAATTGGAAGTGACCATAGATAGTTTTTGAAGGAGCAACGGTGGTAAGAAGACATTATTCAGAAAAGAACCAACTAGGAGGAGCAAGCAAGAGGAATAGAAGTTCTTACTTTTGGGCTGTGGAGTTTCAGGCTATTCCTGCTCAAGGTGGGGTTCACGGGGGGCCTGCCACATCTGCTTAGAATGTCTCAACTTCCTGTCCTGCCTCTATCACTATCAAATATTTGTATGGAAAAACCTCTCCTAGCCACATTCCAATCACTCCTCTTCCTCAAAGAGATTATCAGACTCTGACTTTCTCAGCTTTGGTCCTCTTGGAGTTTGGTTCTTTTACGTGTTTAAAATCTTATGAAGGAAACAAGCTTTGATCATTTGGGCTCTTTTCTCAAAGTTCCAAAATTGACGGCTCCTTAACAGGTAGGTTTTATTTTACAGAATTCAGGTTTAGAAACTGGACACTACTACATTAGCTTCTGCTACCTATCAAAGCTTTGAATGGTGGGTTTTTATTTCATGGATTTTCTGATTATCCCGAAGAGTTAACTCTTTGTCCTCCTTCAGCCCCCACTGGACTGTAAATTCTTTGAACAATGACTGTCTTTCTTTGGCCCCATCTAATTATGGACCCTGGCACATACTAAACAGTCACTAAGTAATTCTTAAATAACTTTTATTTCCACATTCACAGTTAGAAAACATTCCGTAGATGTAACAAAATTTCAATCTTTCAAAAGTCCAGTACCCTTAGTTTGATTCAAGCTCCATCAAAGATGAATTGGTTAGTTTTTAATCTGCAGTTTACAAGTAATAGTTCATATTTCAAAAAGCCTAACATAGGTGATATGTTTGCCACAAAAGGGATAAAAAGGCTAATGAAATGTTTAATTATTTTGCTTACAGGCTGGAATTTTAGTACCTAGGTCTGCCTACATGGTGCCAGTCAGAAGCATGATTTGTGTTGTACATGCCTTTATGTAGCAAAATATAATTATGTAATAAATGCAGTTTGGTAGACAGTCTTTTAAAACACAGGACACTGGGAGTAAAGAAGGCCTTGGTGATTAAAGTTGGAAACCACTGCATTAAATTACCTTCAAATCCTTTAGGCCATCCTGTTTATCCTTATAAACATTAGCTCTCACTGTACAGCATCATAAAGACAAGTAAAGTTAGACTTTTTTTTTTTTTTTTTTTGAGATGGAGTTTCACTCTTGTTGCCCAGGCTGGAGTGCAGTAGTGCGATCTTGGCTCACTGCAACCTCCGCCTCCCAGATTCAAGTGATTCTCCTGTCTTAGTCTCCCAAGTAGCTGGGACTACAGGCATGCCCCACCATGCCCAGCTAATTTTTTGTATTTTTAGTAGAGTCAGGGTTTACTATGTTGGCCAGGCACCGTAACTCCTCGATCAACTCCTGACCTCGTGATCCACCCACCTCGGCCTCCCAAAGTGCACAGAAGTGAGTACGAGCCCGACACCTGGCCTACACCTCTTACTTTCACAGGGTTTTTTCCCACATTTAAACTTGTCACTCGACTAGGAAGTCAAGATTGAAATGGCTCTTTCCATGAATAATTTAGTTTTGGCGTTGTTGCCAAGCGATTTATAATGATTGTGTGATGACATCCCCTGACACATTGGTGCAGTGGCTGGGCTCAGGTGCAACCCTTTGAGAGGCTGAGCAGGGAGGACTGCTTGTGCCAGGAGTTCAAGACCAGCCTGGGCAACATGGTGAACCTGCGTCTCTTTGTATTTTAAAAAAATAAATAATTTTAAAAATTGTATATTGGACCATATTCTAGTGTCAATTCTGAGACAGAAAAAAAGTTGATTACGTTCAAGAGCTTTTTAGCTTTCACTTGATTATACTTACATCGTTGAAAACTCCAGCAGGAATTTTCTATGCTTTCCCACCTTTACATGGTTTTCCTAATAAAACCCATCTGTAATTACAATAAGATGTGGTCTCCATCAGGCTTTTTGTAGTTTTACTATATTCATTAGGTTTCTGCTATCTATTACAATAGGTCCTGTTGGTAGACTCTCTTACAGTCCTCAAATTCCTTTCCAATGTAGAGTTTCTGGTGTTGAAGAAAAGCTGTCTGCCCACTGAAGGCCTTACCACACAGTTGCTACATTCAAAGAGGTTTTCTCTCTGGTATCAATTCTTTATTAATCAATAAAATTGAGATTCCGACTAAACCTTATTCAGAGCATTCATAGGTTCTCTCCTATATAAGATACGATGGTGTCTAATAAGATCTGAGCTTCCCCTAAAGATTTCCCACATTTGGTGCATATATGAGTTTTCTCCTGTAGATTCTATGATGTTTCAGAAGGCCTGAGCTCTCATTGAGATTTTTCCCACATTCTTTACATTCGTAGGGTTTCTCTCCTGTATGAGTTACCTGATGTCTGATGAAGTCTGAGCTGACCTGGAAATTCCTACCACACTGATTACACCAATAAGCTTTCTCTTCCTAGTGAGTTCTCTGCTCTCTCCTAAGCTCCTCATCCTTGCTAAAGGTTTTCTCACATTCAAGTTTCTCTCCAGCATGCAATCTCTGAGTGTCCCCAGAGGAAAGCCGGGCGCCCGCAGAGTTTCCCACATTCATACATTCATAGGGCTTCTCACCTGTAGATTCTCTGATGTCGAATAAGGACGGGCAGCTGCCTGAAAGCTTTCCTACATTCAGTGCACTGATAGGGCTTCTCTCCAGTATGGATTTTCTGGTGTGTAACAAGGTGTGATCTGTAGCTGAAGGATTTCCCACATTCACTACATTCATAGGGCTTCTCACCACTGTGAATTCGCCGATGTTGAATAAGGAGGGAACTCAGCCTGAAAGCTTTCCTACATTCAGTGCACTGATAGGGCTGCTCTCAGTATGGATTTTCTGGTGTGTAACAAAGGTGATCTCGGCTGAAGGATTTCCCACATTCACTACATTTTATGAGGTTTTCTCGCCAGTATAGACACGATGGTGTGTAATAAGATCTGAGCTACTCCTAAAAGATTTCCCACATTTGGTGCATAGCAGGTTTTCCACTGTGAATTCTGTGATGTCTCACAAGGTTTGACCTCTGATTGAAAGTTTTCCCACATTCTTTACATTCATACGGTTTCTCTGTTGTATGGGTTACCTGATGTCCCCAGTAGAGTCCCCAGGCTGCCTAGGAAATTCCTACCACACTGCTTACACCAATAAGCTTTTTCTTCCTCGTGAAGTCTCTGCTCTTCTGTAAGCTCCTCATCCTTGCTGAAGGGTTTCTCACATTCTTCAACTTTCTCTCAGCATGCAGTCTCTGATGTTTGAGAAAGTTGTGTGCCTGACGGTCTTCCCACGTTGCTTGACATTCATAGGGTTTCTCTCCACTGTGGAGTCTCTGGTGTTCAGTAAGGTGAAAATGCTGCTTACAGAAAGGCTTTCACATTCATTACACTTGAGGAGTTTCTCTCAGTGTAGATTCTCTGATGTGTAGCAAGGTGTGAACTTTGACTGAAGGCCTTCCCACATTTGTGCATAAACATGGCTTCCCACACTGTGGATTCTCTGGTGTAGGACAAGGTTTGAGCTTCCCTTAAAAGCCTTCCACCTCTTTGCACTCATAGGGATTCCCGCCTCTGTGAATTTGCTTATGTCTCACCAGATTAGAGCTCTGATTGAAGTCTTTTCCACATTCATGACACATATAAGGTTTCTTTCCTGTATTAATTCTCTGATGTATAAGATTTGAACTTTGATTAGAGTCTTTCCCAGATTCATTACACACATATGGTTTATTTCCAGGATGAATTCTCTGATGTATGATCAGGTTTGAACTCCTGTTGAAGGTTTTTCCACATTCCTTACATTCATGAGTCTTATTTATATTATGAATTTTCTGATGTTCAGTTAATCCTAACTTATGTTTGAAGTTTTGGCCACTAACCTCATATCTATGGGAGCTTTCTCCTGCAGAAAGTATTTTTTCTCCTTCATTACATCCATGGCCAATCTCTCCCACAATGGCTTTCTTGGGGATAATATACATTTCCCTGATACCTCTCTCTTGGGAAGGAGATGTCTCACTGCATCCTTTAAAGGAGCTTACCCAGTGCTTCAATAATCTGTCATAAATTACTGGTTTCAACTAACTCACATTCCTGGGTGATCTGCCTTTGGAGTTTCCGGATGCAGCCCTCGCTGACTTCTTTTCTTCAGAAATTCCATGTTGATTTTCGTTCCTTCATCTTATTCCTGTTTTCAGAATCTGAAATGATAAGTAGATCATTCTATGATTCCTAAAATACAAATATCCCACCTCTTCATATGGGCAGTCTAAGAGGAAGGAACAAAATCAGTGTTTCTGCAAAAACTGGATGTGATGTTCATGGAAATTTCTCTTTTGTAACTATCACAGAACTGTGCTTCCCCACCACCTGTGGTTAAGAAACCTGCAGGGTCAGACAAGAAACTGGGCTATTGGGTTGGCCTAAAGGGTGGTGAATTAATTCACTGGGGAGGAGGGCAATCTGGAGTTGGTCCACAGGGAAGTGGCCTGTTGGATGGGGGAGAACTTGCTAGATGGTGTGGCTGGGCTGAACTGGTTCACAGGAAGCAGCCACTAAGGTAAGTGCCACCAGGCCTTCCACAAGTTGCAGTCTGCTAGCAGCCACATCAGTAAATAATTAAAATCAACAAATAAAAGTAGAACAGCACACTGGTACCAGGAAAATAAGTTAGTTTCTCTTCCTATTAGCCATGCATTGTCCCTCCAGCATCCTCTGTTGACAAAGTCTAAATCTTGTACCAACTGGCAAAGGAAAAATGTTTACAGAATCCATCTTTGTAACACAAGCAAACAAAGATGGTGGATTTGGAGTTGAGAGGCAATAAATTAATAACTAGCATACTGCTCGTTCCTCCCAATATACCATGATAGTTACGCAAATCTGTACTATGCCTCAGAATAAAAATAATTGGCTGTCATTTCAATAGAAATCAATTCTCTTTCTCCAAGACTCATATTTTTTTCTTTCTGATATTCTGAGTAAATTGCCTCCTTTTGTATGGCAATTTTATTTCTTCTGAAATTACAAGATAGATGAGCTTATTGCTTTTGAGTGTCCATGTTATCAAATCCTGGCCTTCCCCAGTGGATTAGTTCATTTTCTTGTGGCTGATAAAGGCACACCTGAGACTGGAGAGAAAGAGGTTTAATTGGACTTATAGTTCCACATGGCTGGGAAGACCTCAGGATCATGGTGGGAGGTGAAAGGCACATCTTGTAGCGGTGGCAGAGAAAATGAGAAGATGCAAAAGCAGAAACCCACGATGAAACCATCAGATCTCATGAGACTTACTCTTACCATGAGAATAGAGAAACTGCCCCATGATTCAAATTCTCTCTCCCCATGTCCCTCACAAAATGTAGGATTTATAGGAGTACAATTCAAGATGAGATTTGAGTGGGGACATAGAGCCAAAACCACATCATTCTGCCCCTGGCCCCTCCAAATCTTATGTCCTCACATTTCAAAATCAATCGTGCCTTCCCAACACTCCCCCTAAGTCTTAACTCATTTCAGCATTAACCCAAAAATCCACAGTTCAAGAATTCTCATCAGAAACCACGGCCAAATCATATGCCTATGAGTCTGTAATGTGAAACAAGCTATAGTTACTTCCCCTAGATACAATCGGTACAGGTATTGTTGAGTAAATACAACTATTTCCCAAATGGGAGAATTGGCCAAAAACAAAGGGTTACAGGAGCCCATGCAAGTTGAAATCCAGCAAGGCAGTCAAATTTTAAACCTGCAAAATGATCTCATTTGACTCCAGGTCTCACATCCAGGTCATGCTGATGCAAAAAGTAGGTTCCCATGGTCTTGGGCACCTCCACCCCTGTGGCTTTGCAGGGCACAGCCTCACTCCTGGCTGCCTTCACAGGCTGGTGTTGAGTGCCTGCAGCTTTTCCAGGTGTATGGTGCAAACTGTAGAGGTGGGTCTACTGCCATTTCTGGGAGTCTGGAGGTCATTGGCCCTCTTCTCACAGCTCCACTAGAAGGTACCCAAGCAGGCACTCTATGGCGACTCCGACCCCATATTTCCCTTCTGCAGTGCCCTAGCAGAGGTTCTCCATGACATCCCTGCCCCTGCAGCAAATAATTAAAATCAACAAATAAAAAGTAGAACAGCACACTGAGTACCAGGAAAATAAGTTAGTTTCTCTTCCTGTAATGTGCATTGTCCCTCCAGCATCCTCTGTTGACAAAGTCTAAATCTTGTACCAACTGGCAAGAAAATGTTTACAGAATCCAGCTTTGTAACACAAGCAAACAAAGGTGGTGGATTTGGTTGAGAGGCAATAAATTAATAAATTAACCTTCTGGCTGAATCAGCGTTCCATACATCTCTGAAATCCAGGTGGAAGTTCCCAAACCTCAGTTCTTGACTTCTGTACCTAAAGACAACACCATGCTTAGGAAACTGCCAAGGCTTGGGGCTTGCCTGTGAATACAGTTCCAGCTCTATCTACATTGGCCCCTTTCAGCCATCGCTGGAGTGGCTGGGATGCAGCACACCAGGTCCCTAGGCTGGACACAGTATGGGGACCTGGGCCTGCCCACAAAACCATTTTCTCCTCGGCCTCCAGGCCTGTGATGGGAGGGGGCTGCTGTGAAGACTTCTGATATGCCCTGGAGACATTTTCCCCATTTTCTTGGGGATTAACATTCAGCTTCTTGTTACTTATGCAAATTTCTGCAGCCTGATTGAATTTCTCCTCAGAAAATGGGTTTTCTTTTTTTATCACATTGTCAGGCTCAAATTTTCTAGACTTTATGCTCTGCTTCCCTCATAAAACTGAATCCCTTTAATAGGACCCAAGTCACATCTTGAATGTTTTGCTGCTTAGAAATTTCTTCCACCAGATACCCTAAATCATCTCTCTCAAGTTCAAAGTTCCACAAGTCTCTAGGGCAGTGGCAAAATGCCACCAGTGTCTTTGCTAAAACATAACAAGAGTCACCCTCTGCTCCAGTTCCTGACAGTTCCATCTCCATCTGAGACCACCTCAGCCTGGACCTTATTGTCCATATTGCTGTCAGGCTTTTGGTGAAAGCCACTCAACAAGTGTTACAGGGAAAAGAAGAATCAGACTGTTACTGTGTCTATATAGAAAGAAGTAGACATAAGAGACTCCATTTTGTTCTGTATTTGAGATGCTGTTAATCTGTAACCCTACCCCAACCCTGTCCTTGCAAGAGACATGTGCTGTGGTGACTCAAGGTTTAGCGGATTTTGGGCTGTGCAGGATGTGCTTTGTTAAACAAGTGCCTGAAGGCAGTATGCTTGTGAAAGTCATGCCATTCTCTTAATCTCAAGTACCCAGGGACAGATACACTGCGGAAGGTCGCAGGAACCTCTGCCTAGGAAACCCAGGTAGTGTCAGGTTTCTCCCCCATGTGATAGTCTGAAATATGGCCTCGTGGGAAGGGAAAGACCTAATGGTCCCCTGGCGGCTTACCTGTGAAGGGTGTGACTGAGGAGGATTAGTGTAAGAGGAAAGAGGCCTCTGGGCATTTTGAGATAAGAAAGGCATCTGTCTCCTGCCTGTCCCTGGGCAATGGAACCTCTCGGTATAAAACCCGATTGTATATTCTATTTACTGAGATAGGAGAAAACTGCCTTAGGGCTGAAGGTGGGACTTGCTAGTGGCAATGCTGCTCTTTATACACTAAAAAGGTTTATGGAGATGTTTGCATATGCATATCAAGGCACAGCATTTTCCTTAAACTTATTCATGTCACAGAGATCTTATTCATATGTCTTTCTGCACAGCCTTCTCCTATGATCTATTGTTCTGCCACTTCATTTTTCTGAGATGGTAAAATAATGATCGATAAATAATGAGGAACTCAGAGACCAGTGCTGGTGCTGAGTCCTCTGTAAACTGAGCGCTAGTCCCTGGGCCCACTTTTTTCTTTCTCTATACTTTATCTCTGTGTCTCATTTCTTTCTCAAGTCTCTCGACTCCACCTAGCAAAATGCCCACAGATGTGGAGGGGCAGGACACCCCTTCAACAACTCTCTATGAAGTTCCAAACTTTCCCACATTTTTCCTGTCTTCTTCTGAGCCCCATACTGTTCCAGCCTTTTGCCTGTGCCAGCTCCAAAATTGCTTCCACATTTTAGGTGTCTTTTCAGCAGCACCTCTGGTACCAATTTGCTATATTAGTCTGTTTTCCTGCTGATGAAGACATACCCGGGAACTGGGAAAGAGGTTTAATTCAGACTTACAGTTCTACATGGCTTGAAGTGTCAGTATTATGGCAGGAGGCAAAAGGCATTCTTACATGGTGACAGCAAGAGAAAATAAGAAGATGCAAAAACGAAACCAATGATAAAACCATCCCAGGTCTCATGAGGCCCATTTTCACCTACCACGAAAAACAGTATGGAAACCATCCCCATGATTCATATCATCTCCCACAACATGTAGGAATTAGGAAGTACAAGTCAAGATGAGATTTGGGTGGGGACACAGAGCCAAGCTTCATATCAGTCAGTCACAAAAACACATTTCTGAGCTCCTTGGGAGCGTGGTGCCATTAATCTTCTTGCAGTGAATAGTGCCAACATGGCACAGTGATTAAGGCATGGACTGAGACAAACTGCCTGAGTTTGAAACCTGGCTCCACCATGGCAGCTCAGGCAAATCAGGGCTCACAGTGCCTATTCCTCATCTATAAAATGGACATAATAATAGTATTTACCTCATAGACTTGTTATGAGAATCAAACATATATAAATATACAGAAAACATTAGTGCTTTGCATATAAAAGCACTGTGTCAGCTGCTGTTATTACTATTATTATTAATATTTACCCTTTAAATATTAAGTAATATGTCCTAGAACAAGCTGGTTCTTTTTTTGAGATATACTCTCACCTTGTTGCCCAGGCTGGTCTCACACTCCTGGGGTCAGGCAATCCTCCTGCCTTGGACTCCCAAAATGCTGGGATTGCAGGTGTGAGTCACTGCACCTGGCCTTGGATTTCATTTAAATACCATACCCTCTCCTGCAACTGAAAGACAGTGGGCTTACTCCTTTTGGGTGTCCATATTATCAAATCCCCAACCTTTATTATTGGAAAGAATTGGCTTGTCATAATTTCCCTTAAAGTATAGTGGTTTTTTTCTTTTGGTTTGAAGAGATATATGTAATATATGTTCAAA